AACCTGTCATTTTATTTCTGTTCACATTCTTGATATAGCTGTACTTTTCCACAGTTATACCTTCATTGAATTTCTTTCTGCAACCCTTTGGGTATAGTCATTCCCTTCTTCAGCTCTTTGTATTGCTTCCAGAACTCTCTGAAGGGCTAGTTTTGCGGACATGAATTCCTTCAGCCCATTTATGTCACGGAAGCTTTTTCTTTCCCCTTCGACTATAATAGACATTCTGGCTGCATATAGTAATCTGGGCTGGCATCTGTGATCATTTAAAACTGGGAGTACTTTGTTCCAGGCTCTTCTCATTTTCATAGTTTACAGTGAAAAGTCAGCTGTAATCCTGATGGGTTTTCCTTTTATGTGACTTGTTGTTTCTCTTTTGCAGCTTTCAGTATGTCTCTTTGTTTTGTAAGTGTAGTGTTTTTACTACGATGTGCCATGGAAAGTTTCTTTCCAGTCCTGTCAGTTTGATGTTCTAAATGTTTCTTGTATTTGTATGGGCATTTCCTTCTTTAATTTTGGGAAATTTTCTTCCAGGGTTCTTTTGAAGATCTGGTCCATGCCATTATCTTGGGATTCTTCTCCTTCCTGTACGCCTATGTAAGTTTGGTCTTTTTATGGTGTCACACAATTCCTGCATATTCCATTCTTGTGATTTCTTAAATTTTTATAATGTTTGCTTGAGTGGTCTAGTTTATCCACTTTATCTGCCAGTCTTGATATTCTGTTTTCCATTTCATTCATCCTATTGGTGAGGCTTTCTCCTGTCACTTCTAATTGGCTTACTGATTTTTTTTCACTTCCTTCTCCATTTCAGCCTGAGTATTCTTCAGTATTTCTAACTCTTTTCTGAATTCAGTCAGAAGTTTGTCCCTATCTTTCTTCAGTTCTTTGATTTCTTTGTGTGTTCTTTAAATTCACTGAATTCTTTTAACAAGTTTATAATTATTCTTTTGAGTTCCATGTCCTGCATTATCTCTAGGTGGTTCTCATTGTACTCCTCTAGAGGACCATTGGTACTTGGTTGTGATATATTATATTTTTCATGTTATTATTTCTCTTTGCTTTTGACATGTGAAAATCTTTTTACTTTCTGATTCTTGTGTGAACGTCAAGCCTTCAAGTTTAGGTCTGCTTCTTTTTGTAAAGTTTATGTGACTTTGTGGTTTATTTTTGGGCGTGATAAGCTGGTTTGTCTAAGCTTCTGGTTCTCTCTTTTGATTTTATATTGGAGTGGCCAGATTGCTTTTGTTTTCAGCAGTTCCCCAGAGGCCCAGGTCACATGAGGATCAGATGCTCTCAGGCATTCTCCTAAGATCTGGACCCCTCCAGGAAATATTTTGGCCTCAGGAATTTGGGGCTTGATCTGGCCTGGGAGCTGGGCCCAGGAAAGATGCTGCTCTAGGGCAGCTGGTGGCTGTGCCACCCAGAGATGCAAAGGAAGATGGGGGCGGGAAGTGGCCCCAAGGGCTCCTGGGGACTGCACTGAAGAGCCCGGTTGGTCTGGATGCAAAGGATCGGGAAGACAAAATGTCAGCCCTGGCATCCAGGAAAGAGGCTTGTGGGTCGTGCATGCCAAGAGAAGTAGACAGAGGTGAGGGAAGGGCTAGGCCCAGAGTGCTCCTGGGGACCTGAGAAGGAACTGGGTTGGTCTGGATGCAAAGGATCAGGAAGCACTGGTGGTTCCCCAGGTGTCTGGGGCACCAAGACAAGGAATGGGACAGGACCCAGGCTAGGAGGAGAGACGGGCAGGGGAGATGGGAGGGTGAATGAGGCTGGGGGAGTCAAGGCAGGGAGGGCTCAATCAACTTACCCTGGAGAGAGGCCTACGGGTTGGAGAGAGCTCACTCAATAATTTTATATACAATTTATTTCGGTTGTCTAGAGTCTAAATTTTTTAATTTTTAAAATTTTTGTCAATTCCTTTCTCTTAAAGATTCATATGCAAAATTGGAGCAGTACAAGGCATTTCTAAGGGATCAATGTAGACAAAGGAAGATAATGGTATGATATTTGTGTTTTTATCATCCCTCAAAAATATGTTTTTATAGAAAATGTAAACAGATAAACACTGCTCACATTTTTAGAAATCTTTCATTCTTGTATTATGTACACGAAATCCAAGAGCTCATGTTTTTCAATATGTATTTCTATTAAATTTTGAGCATTTTATATAATACATCTTAATCATACTTAGACACCCCTCTTATCTGTTCCCCTCATATCCCTGCACTGGAGTGCATACATTCAGTCATATATGCTGTCTACTGAGTCAAGTTTATGTCCCTAGGTGTCCCACAATGTGAGTCCATTCACTCAAGCCTGGTGAGTCTAGTGTCACTCCCATAAAGAAGGTAACTCTCCCTCACCCAGAAGTGATCAGCTGCCAGTAGTTCCTCTACTAAGGTTGGGACTCCTGCTCATTTCCCTAGTTCTATGCTTGGTTTTTGTCTGATTTGACATTGCGTGGGTCTTGTGCATATTGTCACTATTGCTGTAAGTTCATATGAGAATATTCCCAGAACATTCCTGGAAGACTTCTTATGATCATGCACCACCCCTGGCTCTTACAATCTTTCTGCCCCCTCATATGCAGTGGTCTCTGACCCAGGGTGGGTGAGATTTAATATAGGAGTCCTATCCAGGAACACACACTTGGCACTCTCTTATTCTCTACACTTTGGACAGTTGTGTCCTATGTTAATTGTCCTCTGTCACATGAGGAAGCTTCAATGGTGAGAGTTGAGAGATGCATTTATATTTTCTCTACCCTTAGTCCCATTATATTCTGTGATCTTTAGGTATAAAGGTCACAAGCACATTTTTTTTTTACATTAAGCATTAGAGCATTGCCAACATCATCTCACTACAAGTTCTTTGAAGATTGATTTTAATGTGTTCATATCCCTTCCTTTGGTTATTTAATAACTTATGTTTAGTAGTATAAGGCCCATTATCAAGCATCAGGATTTAGAAAATTTATAGTTCTTTTTATGACCTTTGTTAATTAAAAAAAAAAATTTCTGAGATAGTGATTAAAATTATAAATTTTTAAATTACATAGGGTTAGTCCTTTTCAAAAATGCATCTGAACATCACATAATGCTGAGGCTAAGACTTTAAGTATTTGTCGCTACTAGTCTGCTCACCTTGTTTAATAGAATTTTTGTGAAAATAAGCTTTGTTCTTTATTCCTCATTATAAATTACTAAGTAGTAATTTTAGAAAATTAAAGGAAAGATATAAATGCTGACAAAGATTACTATCATAATTTTACCACTTATGAATAAACCACATGTATCTAATTCTTTTTCCTTTTTTTTTTGTGTGTGTGTGAATATGT